GACTCCTAGATTTTTTCATTCTGTGGGCTAAAAGTTTAACATTAAACAACCAAGAGCGACTTACAGATGCAATTGTCTATTACCACCCTTATCCCATAGAAGAAAACATTTTAACACCTAAACAGTAGAAAAGTAAGGCTAAAAAAGTCTTTTCGGTTTCCCTGAAGCTTCTGCGTCTTAGAGAGAACACTGGCTGACACTATTTGGTTGTAATACAGTTGTTGAAACAGGGATTTGCTGTTGAAGGAGGGGAGCTATTTTTGTTGTTTGTTGTCGTTGCTGCCGTTTTCTCCCTGGGGCATTCTGAGTGCCTGGAAGCACTTGATTTGCTTGTGCAGCCCAGCCCTTAAATACCTGGTCATTCTCAGTGTGATCCTGCTTCCAGCCCCTGTCGCCTGACCCCCCAGTGAGTCAGCCAGGCCCCTAAGAGGGAGGGCAGGGAGAGACACACACCCAGCCTGTGCTGCTGCCTCCGCTGCCCAGAGGTGACTTGGTCGGAAGTCCTGCAACTTCCCCAATAGAGGGGAGTTTCTTTTCTTTACATCAGGCCGTGAGATTTCCCCACACACACTTCTCTCTCTTCTTGCCCAAACCTCCTTAAAATACAGAGAAACTGAACCATGAAGTCTCTACTTTGGCTCAGGAGCCTTCCCTTTCTCTCTAATTGGGTGGTCTCAGGAGGAAGACAGGCAGCAATAAAGATTTGTCTGTGTGCAAGCCGTAGTCTGCGTTTCTGTCTAAATATTCCTCTTTTTTTAAAGTTTACATTACTTTTTAAAATTTTTTCATTTTTTAAAATTATGCTTTAAGTTCTGCAGTACATGTGCAGAATGTGCAGGTTTGTTACATAGGTATACATGTGTCATGGTGGTTTGCTACGTCCATCACCCCGTCATCTACATTAGGTATTTCTCTCAATGCTATCCCTCCCCTATCCCCCCCACCCCCTGCTATCCCTCCCCTAGCCCCCCACTCCCTGACAGGCCCCGGTGTGTGATGTTTCCCTCCCTGTGTCCATGTGTTCTCATTGTTCAACAACCACTTATGAGTGAGAACATGCAGTGTTTGATTTTCTGTTCTTGTGTCAGTTTGCTGAGAATGATGATTTCCAGCTTTATCCATATCCCTGCAAAGGACATGAACTCATCCTTTTTTATGGCTGCATAGTATTCCGTGGTGTATATGTGCCACATTTTCTTTATCCAGTCTGTCATTGGTGGGCATTTGGGTTGGTTCCAAAGCTCTACTATTGTGAACAGTGCTGCAATAAATATACATGTGCTTATGTCTGTATAATAGAATGATTTATAATCCTTTGGGTATAGACCCAGTAATGGGATTCTGGTGGCTTGCTGACAATCTTTGGTGTTCCTCAGCCTCTGCTCTATCTCCCTGATCTCTGCCTTCATCTCCACATAGCACTTTTTTCTGTGTCTCTGTGTCCAACTCTCCTCCTTTTCATAAAAACACCAGTCGTGTTGTATTGGTGTTTCATCCTACTCCAGTAGGACCTCTTCTCAACTAATTACATCTGCAGCAACTCTATCTCCAAACGTGGTTACATTTTGAGGTTCTGGGGATTAGGACTTCAACATATTAAATTTGGGGCATACAATTCAACCCATAACACATCTAGTGATATGTGATAAAAAGAATACTGATATAGGACAAAGAAAGGTTAACATCAATTTATTTATTTATTTATTTGTTTGAGCAATAAGTCCCTCTGTGACATCCAGGCTCGTCTCAAACTCCTGGGCTCAAGTGATCCTCCTTGGCCTCCCAAACTGCTGAGATTATAGGCACAAACCACCATACCCTGCCTAAAGTCAATTTTTAAACAAACTTAGTTTCATTAAATCTAATGATCTTTAATAAAACCTACCATATCTGCACTTTATCAATTCAATTACCTAGGAAGAGCATTGGTCACATTAAAACGAACAATCCTAGGAATATCAGAGAAGAATATAGGAGAGAAGCTTTATGATAAAGAAAATTCCATTCATGTCATTAGAAAATGGTAAGCTGACTTTTTGGCACTTAAGTGCTTTCTGAACTAAATAAAGTGTTTCATTCCCTCATTTATCAAGCACCTGTTATGGACCACACAGTGTGTCAGATTTGGGGCACTCAGTAGTAAACATGTTTCTCCAGCTGGCTCTGACTTCCCCTTTATTACCAGGGGTAGGGGTAATTCCATTGCTGCCACCTTCCCCTGGAACAACTTCTTCCGAGTTTCACGAGGGCTGAGCTACATCATTCAAAGCTCTGAGGTGGTTTGCGGCGACATGGAGCATGCTTGCTTCAAGTCTCTCTCCTTTTCTATGTCACCCTGTTAGAGAGATAACAAAGTAAAGGGCTCCCAAGGCCTGCCAGCTGTTTACTCACATCTTTTTTCACTTATCAGCTTTCACATGAATAAGCTAAGGTCTAAAAGAAAAACAGCTCTACACAGGACTACCTCCCTTTGGCTGACGAAAGCTTTAATGCTAAGCTTTGTTGCTGACCATCTTTTCCCTGGGGATAACTCTTCTCAACTTCCTTCATCCTCTTATGCAATTAGACTCCTGGTGAGTCTATCTTCAGTTTACCAGGCGTGTTCAGTAGGGAGTCACAAGTTGGACTTCATTTGTGAGCATGCATTACCTGAAGAGACTATCAAGTCCTTTTAAAGTCATGCTTTTTTTCTTGATGTATTGTGTCATTTTGACTATGAATATTCTCTAATGTTAAGAGGCTGTCATCAATAATAATCACAGTTGAGAGTGGGGAAGTTAGGTGATCCTATTAGGAAGAGAAATGCTGCCCATTTGGTTTCTTGTCTTTACTTCTTATTACTTGAGTTATTTTATAACTAATACATGGATAATATTGTCTATACCTACATCCTCTTGTGACTAATTAAATATTAGATGATTTTTTCCACTTGTATGTAAAGTAAAAGATGAGCTTCATGATAAAAATGTTTTAAAAACAACAAATGTTTTATATTTTGTTAAAAAATATGTTTTCTGGCCAGCAAACATGAGAAAATACTCAACATCACTATCATCAGAGAAGTGCAAACGAAAACCACATTGAATACCACCTTATCCCAGCTAAAATGGCCATTGCTAAAAAGAAACAAAAAATTGATGTCGCCATGGATATTGGTGAAAAGGAAGAAAATGAAATGCTTATACACTGTTGGTGGGAAAGGAAATTAGTACAACCCCTATGGAAAACAGTATGGAGATTTCTTAAAGAATTAAAAGTAGATCTACCATTTGCAATCCCACTACTGAGTATCTACCCAAAGGAAAAAAAGTAATTATATCAAAAAGACACCTACACACATGTTTATTCCAACACAATTAACAATTGCAAAGATTGGAAACCAACATAAGTGCCCATTAACTGATGCCTGGAGAAAGAAAATGTGGTATATATATGTCATGGAATACTATACAGCCATAAAAAAGAACAAAATAATGTCTTTTCCAGCAACTAGACATTGGAGCTAGAAATAACTCAGGGATGGAAAACCAAATGCCATATGCTCTCACTTATAAGTGAGAGCTAAGCTATGGGTACACAAAAGCATACAGAGTGGTATAATGGACATTGGAAACTCAGAAGGGGGGAAGATGGGTGGTGGGTGAGGGATAAAAAAACTACATATTGGGTGCAATGTACACTACTCGGGTGATGGGCAGACTAAAATCTCACATTTCACCACTATGCAATTAATCAATGTAACCAAGAACCACTTGGACCCCAAAAGCTATATGAAATATAAGTACATATAAGACCTTTGTTATATATTAATGTTATATATTATTAATATACATAATTAATATATAATGATATATATTAATATATGTGATTAATATATATTGTTATATTATTAATATATATTTATATTATATAAATATGTTTATGTAACTAACATATATATAATATGTTATTAATTACATATATATATATATACACATAATATAGGTCTTAAAATCCAAATATGACTAGTTTTGGAAAACTTTTTCTAAAGAATTATAGTTAAGACAGTCCATTAACCAGAACTTATAGACTTACAGGGAATTTGGTGTCCAAACTTGGTTTTTCCAACTAGTTTTTTTTTTTTTTTTTTTTGAGACGGAGTTTTGCTCTTGTTACCCCGGCTGAAGTGCAATGGCGCGATCTTGGCTCACCGCAACCTCCGCCTCCTGGGTTCAGGCAATTCTCCTGCCTCAGCCTCCGGAGTAGCTGGGATTACACGCACGCGCCACCATGCCCAGCTAATTTTTTGTATTTTTAATAGAGATGGGGTTTCACCATGTTGACCAGGATGGTCTCGATCTCTTGACCTCGTGATCCACCTGCCTCGGCCTCCCAAAGTGCCGGGATTACAGGCGTGAGCCACCGCACCCGGCCTGTTTTGTTTTATTTTGTTTGTTTGGTTGGTTGGTTTTTGGAGACAGAGACTCACTTCTTCACCCAGGCTGGAGTGCAGAGGTGTGATTTTGGCTCACTGCAACCTCTGCCTCCCGGGTTCAAGCACGTGGGACACCAACTCTGGCTAATTTTCCTATTTTTAGTAGAGAGGGGATTTCACCATGTTGCCCGGGGTGGTCTTGAACTCTATCCTCCCGCCTCTGCCTCCCAAAGTGATGGGATTATGGGTGTGAGCCACTAAGTCCAACCTCTGACTAGTTTTTAACAGAAATTTTAATGCATTTAACCAAAAAAACCACATCATATTGCAATGCTTTGAGAAACAAGGAAATCTGTTCTCATTTTACTATTAACAATATTAATGGTTTTTCGAAATCCAGAACCAAGTAATTAGCATTCTCTTACGAAAACACGTTTATTAATTTTCAAAGAAAATCTTGTAATGGTTTATTTTTTTAAAAAACTAAAAACCATTATAATACCTGAGATAATGCAGTCTTCAGACTGAGTCACAAAGCTGTGGGGATTCTCATGCCCCCCTGGCAGTGATGTCATAATGTCCTAGTTAGACACATGACCTGCTGGGCCACAGAAAGGAGGCTCTGTGAAGATGTACTAGATTACTGGATACATAACTTCAATTTCCCAATGAATTTTATATTGTATATTCTTATACCTGGAATATATTCTTTTTCCCTAAAGAGTAGCCCTTTGAAGCCTACTGTTGAAGGTGAGAAAGCATTTAAAACTCTTGTAAAAATAGTAGGTAAGAAGGATGACCCATAATTATGAAAAATTGATATGTGGCCATTTTCTACAGGATGATATAAACTTTATTGTTGGAGATATGGTATACTGTAGATTTTAAATCTCTGCCTCTAATCCTTTGTAAAAAAATGCAGTTAGAAAAAGAAAGTAGTAAAAGAAATCAATATATTTCTGATCTATGGTGTATAACACTTTTTTTCCACATTGCCTAATGTGTTGCCTTTAAATGAAGATGTTAAAAAACAGGAAGAAAACAATGAAAATCATACATACAATTACACTCCTGCTAATGAGAAAAATGGCAATTATTTTAAAGATATAAAACATGTATAAAGAGTAAGTCTTTATAGTGAATGTAAGTCTTTATAAAAATGTAAGTCTTTAAAGTGAATAGTGCAGAAGTTGATTATCCTGATTTGACTTAAGTCTCCTTTTTAAACTTTCATCATTTTCCCCTGTGTTTGCTCTACTTTTGTGACTTCCCTGTTCATATCCTTGCCCATTTTTCCATTAGGTTGTATTTTCATTTATTTTCAAGGGCTCTTTTTATGTAGAACATATTAACCCTTTTTATGGTAAAAGTAATAAATGTTTTCTGCCAGCATGTTGCTTATCTTTAAGCCTTATTTTATTTTCTTGTACCTTATTCATTTTTTGAGACAGGGTCTTATTCTGTCACCCAAGCTGGAGTACAATGAAATGACCATGGCTCACTGCAGCCTTGACCTCCCAGGGTTCAAGCAGTCCTCCCACCTCAGCCTCCCGAGTGGCTGGGACCACAGGCACGTGCCATCACATCAGCTAATTTTTGTATTTTTTGTAGAAGTGGTGTTTAATCATATTGCCCAGGTTGGTCTCAAACTCCTGGGCTCAAGCAATCCACCCACCTCACCCTCCCAAAGCGCTGGGATTATAGGTACGAGCCACTACTCCTGGCCAAGCCTGTTTAAGTATCTCTAATAACTGAGAAGATTTCAAGTTTTATAATATCAATTTTTGTTTATTAATTTCTTTATAATCTCTGCATTTTGTGTCATGCCTAAATAGGCCTTATCCAGTCTAAAAATACTGTTTTCTTGATTTTTAAAAATAATTGTATGCTTTTGTTTTTAACTTGAGCTTTAAATCCAATTATTTTTGTACATGGCATAAAGTAGGGATAAAACATTATATTTTTCAAGGATGATAGCCAAGTGTCAAACACCAATTCCCTACCGATGTGGAACTCACATTTAATATAGTCAAAAGTCCAAGATGAAATTAGGCCAATTGTTATACTTCTTGTCTTTTTAATCTGTCTGTTCCTAGAAAAGTACCAATGTTTCAACTTTTATACTTTGATAACTCATGGCATGAGTGTTGGATTGTGATTTCCTTTTATTTTTCCATAGCTCTGTTCAGGAATTGCTCAAAAATGATGAAACATTAATGGTTCAAGGGCAGATAAATGCTTCTTACTTGGTTTTTTAATAATATCAATACAAACAGTGATAACATTGCACAGCTACAAATCTGCTTCAGCACCTGTCATGTGCTTACATATTTGTTTCCATGAATTTCCTCAATAATTGCTTCTTGGAAAGGGTCGTTTAGCATAAAGATACTAGTTTGGCTTTTTTCCATGAGTTTTAGATTTTACCCTTGCCCCACCTTCTTATTTTACAGGTGGAAAAAAATGACTGTAATATTTTTTTAAATGAGTGCATATGTTTTAAGAAGAAACTCAGCGGAAGAAATAGGTAAAAGGAAAACAGTGACTTAGCTAGTTGCCGAAGACTTTTGCTTTTGTTTTTAGATGTGTTCACAACACAAAATCCAAATGGCACTGAGTCTGAACAATCTGTGAGAGCCACAACTGATCTGAATTTTGCTCTAAAAAACTGTATGTACTGAAAGGCACCATTGTACATGTTAAAGCCTTAAAGCAGGATTTCAAAACAGCACTAGAAAGTGTTGGGGAGAAAAGTCTTCATTCCTAAACAAGACTAACATTTTCCCTCTAAAGTAGATACGATGACTGGGATCCAGCTCAGGTCGTGGCCGTCCTCTCTGCTTTTCTCACACTTCCTCCCACACGAATACACTTGAGGCTCCACATCCATTACCCTGATCATTTCAGAAGCCAGGGAGGTGCTTGCATTTCTAAACCTCATACTTTTTTCTTATGGAGAAAGAAAAATTAAATAATAACTAAATTTAGGATTCTAGGAAATTTACATCTTTCTTAAACCCACATTTTTTTTTATGGCTTTCTGGTGTTTATCTTCAGCTTTAAATGGGGAAGAGAGAATGTTTCCAGCTATGGCAATGTCAATATTCAGAAAAGTGAGACTCAGTAATGCCTAATTATTTACCAAGCTACTTGATAATAATGGAATATTTTGAGCAATTTCAGACTTTGGGTTTTAAATGAGACAGTGACATTTCAAGGGCATATGTTAATTCCATCAGTCACTCATGGCAATCTTGCTTGTGCACAGCAAACCACATCTCGAGTTGTCTGGGGCAAGACATGGAGAGGCAGCTCTTAAGCGCACATAGTACCTCAGATTCCCTTAGGATATGAGTTATTGAGGACAGATCACAGGCCCCCAAGGAAGAGACTGCAAAACCCTCACTTCCATTTCCACAATCCAGGCCCCAGAGGACTGTCAAGGAAAGTGGGATTGGAATAAGACATTCCTGCCATTTTAAATGGGGCTCTGACAGAGGAGACCTGCCAGCATGGTGGGGACATTCTAGAGGAGCAAGCCCTCAGGAAGATGGATGTGGATACCTTTGACTAAAGGTTGCTTGCTTAAGTAGAGTCCCTAAAACTCTGAAGGCAAGAGGGATAAACTGAGGCAAGCTAGATGCTTTTCTTCAGAGGATAAGAGTTGCAAAGCAGAATTTAAGGATGACTTACCAGTTCTTTGAGTTCTGCCTGCATCACTATCAACTCCAGTAACTGATTCCCTTTCCCGACCTTCCTTGTCAACAAGACACCTGTCATGGGTTCGTGGGCTCAGTGTGAATTTCTTCTGCCTCTCTCTGGAAGTCCCCCTGCAGTGGGTCCCAGGACTCCATATGGAATTTTATTGACTCCTATATTGAGCAGTGAACTGAAATAGCCATCAACTTGCAGAAAGGGTTCTCTGGTCACAGTTGTTACCAAACACTCCCATAGTGACATACCTCCTGAGGGACCCATTACAGAAGGAGATATATACTAAATTTGACCTGAAAATTCTTGATTTGTAGTCCAAAATCTTTACATCCAAATGTCTGCTTCCAACTTACAAGCACACTTTAATACTCAGCCTCCCTTTCTTGCGTCGTTCACTGAACAGCAGCCAAGCTGCTCTGGACAAAGGGGATCATTTCCCTGCCTGTGCAGGGGACCAGCTGGAGTCAATCATCTCCTCCAAGAGATCTTCTTTACCTCTAAAGAAAGCCTGAGGCCCCAGGGTTCCTTTTCCTCTCTTTCACAGGTTGTAGGCGTATTAATCCCACCTCAGGCACCCCATGATTACAGAAAATGTATTCTTCAATACTTCTTTCTCCTTTATTTCAGGAAAATGTTAATGTCTTTCTCTTCTACTTCTTCTCTCTCCTTTTCTTTGTTCCATTTTTAGTTTAAAAAATATCTAATCTCAGATGTTTAGTCAGTATTTTTACATGCCGATAATCCTTTTTCTCTTTTCCTAGATAAAATCGTCAATGCGACTACATTTGAAAAATCTGCCAATGAAGAAGAAACAACTACTCATGAACCCTCTCGTAAAAATATTCAAAGTATTAAAATTCTACACTGTATTCATACCTGGAGCATTTCATTACGTGACTTAAAAATTTAAGTTTCACCACTCTAAGCATTACATAAAGTCATAGCATACCTAAAGAATTTATACCGCTACGATTTAAAGTCACTAAAATTTTTTAAATGGGGAATGTCTAAGAGTCAATCTTTAGGTATACCTGACAAGGGATAGGAATGAGCGTTTTTAGAAATAGAGTTTTATTTTAATAAAATATATTACATTTGTGTCTATAATAAACAGGTATTTATAAATTAGTATATATTTATAAATATAAGTATATATCAAATGTATTTGAAATATAATTTATTTTGCTAGTGATGGAAAATATTCTGCCTGCTTGAGGAATAAAATTATCTAGAGTCAATTATTAGTGTTTCCTAAGATTATTTGAGGTTGGGGGTTGGGAGTGGGAGTCTGCAAAATCAAAATTACCATTTTACTTTCCTGCCAAGAATATTGTTCCTTATATTGTGGAGCCATAGCCACCCAGGATGGCTCTCCTCTAAAGTCTTGAATGAGTGGTCTAATTGAAGAAAACGGATACTTACATGTCATTACATGAAACCCTATTTTCTCCAGTTCATGCAATGTGTTTCTAATATAATTACTCTGAATTCGTTTTCATTTTTAACACTACTGGGAAAAAAACAATCTTTTTTGATATGTTTAAAAATTAAAACCAGATCATCCTGGTATCCCCCTTCTAAAATGTCTTTAGTAACTTACTACTAGGTTTGGGATCAAGTTTTAACTCCTTAACCAAGCATTCAATTCTGAAACAATCTGGCCACTGAAAATTTTCCAGTCTCATCTCTGGTTACATTCCCCATCCACATCATTCCAGACTTACCTGAAGCTCCCAGAGCTTACTGAGCCTGCCTATGATCACAGCTGGAATGAGCTTGCTCTCACCTTGTTTGCCTGGTGAACAATTCCTAGTCCTCTAAGCTTATATTGGAACATCATCTCCCTTTTGAAGGGTTTCTGGCCTTCACAGAATTAAGCCCTGTGCATACCACCTGTGCGTGTCTATTAAAGCCTTCACTATCCTGCTACATAATCAGCAATGATTCTTGTCAGCATCCAAAATTAGGGTGTTTTCCTTGAATGTAATGTCTGTGCCTTCTTTAACTTCTATAAGTTAGTGCCAACTGCAGGGTCTGACACATGGTAGAAGTTCAAAGTTGAACTGCTAGATGACAAACAAAAGAATGTTACTCAAACCAAATTATTTTGTTATCCTGTTGTCTTTTTTTCTTAAACAGAACCAACCCCAAATGTGCCTGAATTTTGGACAATGTTAGCTAAAGGTAAAGTCTCACTGCTAGGTAGCTTGGGAAATGTTTTGGTTTTCTAAAATCTTGCTTAAAGCTAAGATCAGTCTAAATACCTCTAATACTAAGAGTCAATAAGTCAACATTTTGTTGCCACATGTGATAGCAAAATGCAAAACAAACCCAGAAAGGTGATAAAGTGTCACATATTTTCTGAGTACCCACTCTCTACAAAAGTTTTATTCTCTTACAAATGCTAAGTGTTATTCAATTTATTCGTGGTTAAAATTTTTCAATAAGATTCTTGCTTAATACCATCATCTTTGTATTTGGAGCAGTGTGTGCAAAAGCACAGAGAGATGCATGTATAAATGCAAAGTATATATCAAAATATATGCAGGCATAAAAGTGTGTCATAAATATATAAACATGCGTGCATAGCATGAGGTGCATATTATTTCTATGCATTTGTGTATAAATGCATATGCATACCTGGATGTACACATGTATAAAGGTAATGCATGTATCACATAGAAATATATGCCTCGTATATGTGAAATGTAGACCCTATTCAGTTGATTGATGTTTGCATTCTGTATCAACTACTCATTAATATTTCTTTGTTACCCCAAAATCAATACTTGCAGCACCTTCACAGTCATTTATGGACATTGGCAGAGCTTTGAAATTTTTTAATAGACTGACACACACTTTTCCAGCTGAAGTAGAACAAGGCAACATTCTGCCTTCTTTCTTCAGCTCTCATTCGGTAAATACAAGTCATTTTTGCAGTCCACCTAGTGCCACATTTTTTGAACTTCTTGTGCTTTCTTTGTTGATGATTTTGTGTTTAAAATGGCCCCCAAATGTAGTGCTAAATTGCTGGTTAGTGTTCCTAAGTGCAAGAAGGCTGTGATGTTTCCTTATGAAGATAACATGTGTTAGAGAAGCTTTGTTCAGGCAAGAGTTACAGTGCTGTTTACGATGAGTTCAGTGTTAGTGAATCAATGATGTGTATTAAGTGAAGTATCTTTAAACAGAAACACATGTAAAACAAGATTATATATTAATCAGTTGATGAAAATGTTGTGACCAGACTTGCAGGAATCTAACCCTGTATTTACCCTGGGAGCAACAGTTCAGTATTTGCTAATATAGTGTTTATCGTCACTTTATAGAACATAGTGCCATGAATAATGAGAACAGACTGTACATATTATACACACACATACATAAACAGGCAATAATTTTAGTAAGTGAACGTTGTTTACCATAACACCAATTTATTGTTTTAACAGCTATAAATGGAACAACGGTGGTCATGGATGATAAAGATCAATTATTTCTCCCAGTTCCAGGTAAGAATAAATCCTTCAATTGGCTGGGCACAGTGGCTAATGCCTATAATCCCAGCAATTTGGGAGTCTGAGGCAGATGGATCACTTGAGCCAGGAGTTCGAGACCCACCTGGGCAACATCACAAAAACCCCTCTCTACAAAAAATACAAAAATTAGCCGGGCATGGTGGCATGCCATTGTACTCTAGCCTGGGTGACAGAGTGAGACCCTGTCTCAAAACACAAACAAGCCAAAGTACTTTAATTAATAGACACATAAATATGCTTACACATCATAGTGTCTTCATGGTGATACTATTTTTCCTAGTGAAGTGTGGTGTGTGAAAGGGGGTATCATGGTGGCTGACATCTCAGAGAGGACATTTACCGTGTAGGAGAGTTATAGTCCTAAGCCCTCTTTTTTAGTTATGCTTTGCAGATGACCATTAGCATCTTTCTGTTTTATAACATTTATTCCTGAAAGCAAATAGAGGAGGGAAGTGAATAATATATAGAATGCAGGCTTTTTAAAAAGTAGACTTTATTTTTAGAGCAGTTTTGGGTTTAAAGAAAAATTTGGCAGAAAGTACAGAATTTCCATATTCCACCCTCCTCAGTTTCTCCTACGTCTTGCATGGATGTGGTGCCTTTGTTACGATTTATGAACCAATAGTGATGCATCATTAACTGAAGTCCATAGTTTACATTAGGGTTCACTCTTTGTATTAAACAGTTCTTATATAATACAAATAACTCTTTAACTGTATAATACAGTTCACTCTTTATATTACGCAGGTTTTGACAAATGCAAAATGTCATGTGTCTGCCATCCCAGTATCATACAAAAATTTCACTGCCCTAAAATTCCCTCTGCCCCCATCAGTTCATCGCTTTATTCCTCTCTCCTCCTGAACCCCTGACAACCACTGATCTTTTTACTAGCGCTATAGTTTTGCCTTTTCTAGAATGTCATGTCGTTGGAGTCATATAGTATGTAACCTTTTCAGACTAGCTTCTTTCACTTATCAATATGCATTTAAGATTCCTCCATGTTTTCTTGAGAGCTCATTTATTTTTATCACCGATACTCCATTGTATGGACATACCCTAGTTTCATTCATCTATTGAAGGACATCTTGGTTGCCTCCAGTTTTTGGCAATTATGAATAAAACTGCTGTAAACACATGTGTGCAGGTTTTGATGTGGACATAAATTTTCGACTCATTTTGGTAAATATCTATGAATATGATTTCGAGATGATATTGATAAGAGTATGTTCAGGTGCAGTGGCTGCCTGTAATCCTAGCACTTTGGGAGGGCAAGGTTGGAAGATGAGAGTGTTTGTCTTTGTAAGAAACTACCAAACTATCTTCCAAAGTATTTTTGGAATTCTCACCAGCAGTGAATGTGAGCTCCTGCCTCATTAATGAAATACAGTTTTCATTAATGGACTAATTATAGGACTAAAATAAACCCCTGATTTGAATGCAAAATTTCATGAAAAAAATCACATTAATATCCCCAAAGAAACCTCTGTCCCATAAATAAATGATTGAAAAATAGCATCTGATGATATATCTTAGACCTGTCACCTCATTTGTGCACTGGATTAATAAGTGTAGCTATTTGCCTTATGGTGCTTCAAGAAAATTGAGTGATTTGGCCAGGCCCTGTGGCTCACAACTGTAATCCCAGCACTTTGGGAGGCAGAGGCAGGTGGAACACCTGAGGTCGGGAGTTCAAGACCAGCTTGGCTAACATGGTGAAACCCCGTCTCTATTAAAAATACAAAAAAATTAGCTGGATGTGGTGACAGGTACCTGTAATCCCAGCTACTTGGGAGGCTGAGGCAGAAGAATCACTTGAAGCCGAAAGGCAGAGGTTGCAGTGAACCAAGATTGTGCCACTGTACTCTAGCCTGGGCGATAGATCGAGACTCCATCAAAAAAAAGAAAGGAAGAAAGAAAGGAAGGAAGGAAGGAAGGTAGGGAAGGAGGGAAGAAGGAAGGAAGGAAGGAAGGAAGGAAGGAAGAAAGGAAGGAAGGAAGGAAGAAAATTGAGTGATTCTTCTTTGTTTAGAAAAAATATAAACAGGAATGACAAATGCTTGTTTATTTTATAAATACTTTGTCATTTCTCATTTAATATTTAAGTGATTAAATTGAGCTTGATTGATTTTATTGTTTATTGAGCACATACTGCATGTTAGATGTTATAGACACATTATTACATTAGTCCTCATGGCAACTCCATGAAGTTGGTATTATCTTCATTTTACAGTTGAGAAACCTGAGGCTTAGAGAGAAAAGCTGCTCATACTTGTAACTAGCTTTTCCGTAATTTCCAGTGATTATGCATTCCAAGCCCTTCTCTAGTTCTGACCATCACCTAGATAAAGAAAAGGTACCATGAGCACATCTCTCTATAAAAAACCCTTTCAGGAGACAGAAAAGCAATTCAGGAGCATAGCCCATTTTAACATAATTTGTTTAATTATTCCCAAAATAATACGCCTCAAAGCATTAAATGAGTCATTGACAACTGTACACATGTCGTGGTCTGAGATCATGCATTGACAATTATAACTTTTAAAAATCAGAGAATATAGACATGGAAGCTTGTTGCTGATTATCACCTCAATATCATTACCTAGAAAATAGTGAAAACCCTTGGAACTTCTGGGTTGGCAGAGGCTGGGGGTTAGTTGGGGGAAAGGGGAGGAATAACAACATATTGTTATCATTACATGTTTGTCAGACATATATTCAGGCAGATGTAAAATTTGGCAGTAAAGCTATCATTTTATTAATAGATTTAGTAAAAAAAAAAAATTCTTGCTATCTCTAGATCCAGACATATCTTATATTTAACTTACTTTAGAAAGTTAAATACATTGATTCTATTTATTTTTATAATGTGAAGTACACTAGGTTTATTAGTCTTTTCAGTAATAAAACAGCAAAACTAGCCCTTAAGCCTCATGGAGGAAGCATCCACTATACTACCTTTTTAGCATAAAAGAAAAATCCGTGCATGACCCAACACTAGAGCATACACCTTTGCCCCCTGAAAGGCTGGTCCCTGGTGTGTAAGTCAATTGTTCTGAATAGTAATCTCTTCAGACATAAGTCAGAGAACGTCTGCTGTGGATGCATTTTGATATCTGGTAACCTGAGTTTGAAACTAGATTTTGCCACTTACTATGTGCCAAGGGCAAATACAGAAACTTCTGTGACACTATAAAATGAAGCCAAGGACAGCTCCTTCAGGATGGTTGTGAAGGTTAAAGGGAAAAGATGAGAGTGCTTGGCTTTAGAGAGTTGCTTTCTCTTTTGCATTGCCTGCGGGATGGGAGACTGGGCAGTTAATTCTCCGGATGGGGGAGGGCTGGCTCCTCTGTATTTGCTTTGTAATCTTTACTCCTTCAGGAATTTTCTTTCTTTCTTTTCAGAATCTGATGTGAATGCTACAAAGGAAGAAAATTGGCCTGATCCAGAGGATCTGAAGATAAAATTAACGTTGGGAATCTTATTGATGACCCTCCTCCTCTTTGTGCTCCTCTTGGCATTCTGTTGTGCCACAATGTACAGACTGAAGTACCTGAGGTAGGTCTGCAGACCTCTCCGTCTTTACCACAGAGGCATGGCATCGCACTCTCTCCTCTTTAGCAGATCTTAGGAATGTGCGACCTCCAAATTTATCCATATGGCATTCAAACGGATTCCATTTACCCTATTCAGATGGAGGATGAGACTGTCTTTAAGGGAATATCCTACTTGAACGTTTTCCCAATAAGTCAACCAGAGATAGAAAAAACCTTAGTCAATTGGAAAGGATATAGAGAATCTAGATATGTTTGTTTGTTTGTTATCTATGTAGCCCTGGAACAAAAGGGCTATATATTCTGTTCTAAATAGCATATCTGTTTAGCGTCTAATGTTTTTCATTCAAGCAAGCCTTGAGACTTCCTAAAAACAGCCGATCTCTGTCACCTTTAAACTGTCAGGCCTGTCCATGTGCTCTTTCTTATAAAAATATTAAATTCAACTCAAGCCTGATTGAGGGGATTATTTAATATTTTCACACAGTGTAAAATTTTGAAGATCACCTTCAAAAATCCTAACAGAGTTGCTTAATGTTCATAATGATCCTTAATTCCATTCTTTGCATTACGGTGTTTTTGATGAACGGTGTATCTCTCTGGTCCATCAAAACTGTGTTCCTAGGTATTTATTCCCCTTCATTCAATTTCTTGCACATTCTTATTAAACTTTTATTAAGGCAACTTTTACTGTTTTAGTAAACCGGTTTATAAATTCTAGTAGGGATTTGAAACATGCTTCATTTATAAAGTGTTAAATATAATCAAATTACAATGAAAGAAAAACTATATATCATTTCTATAATGTTACTAATACATTGGGCAATATTAATAAATTTTTAATTTTTGAATGCTTTTTAAGCTGAGTTACAATGTATACAATTAAAAATAATTCTTGACATATGTTTCTTTCTTTTCCGTCTTAAAAGTTGTGAGAGTCAATATTGCATCAATCCTGAGCTGGCCTCGAAGTCGTACTTTCATCCATTAAAAGGTGTATCAGATACATCCTTTTCCAAGAGTACAGAGAGCAGCACGTCTTCAGATGTGAGAAGACCAGGCACAAGAATATCAAAATCTATGGACGTAAACAACGTGATAGAGTTACCCAATGAAGAAATCAAGGAACCTGATGAAGATATCATACTGATGAATAAATAGCTTTAATTCTTTTGTCATCAAAAGACCTTTCTTTATGTCTTCAGTTAATGTCATGATTTTGAAACTCTGCTGAGACAAACATTCTGGTGTTAAAAGAAGGGCGTATTCAATAAAAATTATCTCTCGGTTATAAAATTTAATGGAAAACACGCAAGAACACAATTTAAGGTGTGAAAAACTCATCGGGTAAAAACATTCCTGGAGGGTGATTTTGAAAGAAATTTTCTCTAGGCTGGTTCATTTTAAAACGAGGACATTTATATATTTTCCTTCCCTGGGGGCATTTTGAGAACATCAGGGTACTCACTGCTACCTATGCACCCCCTCACCACCACTGAAGCAAAAAGAACACACCTGTTCATGTTTTATTAACAAAACAGTTGTGCCATCAAGGGATGAAACTAAATTAGTGGTAGGAACTCATAGCATTTTTGAATTGTTTTAAAAGTCATCAGGCGCTGCTCTCACATGACAAAGAGTAAGAAAGAAAAGATATTTTTCCATTTCTGAAGTATCCATAATTGTTTGAGACGACATGGTGTTCCAGAAGAAGAGAGAGGCAGCAGGTAATTTCCTAGATGGGGACTCACAGACTCTGAGTCTTTCAGCCCTGAAGTGCCCTTCTTTCTCTCTTCTTCCAGGTATCCAGGATTATTGTGTTCCATTGAAAGAAAAGCAATGCCTTTTAAAGACTTATTCAAGGTTATTAGTGACTTTTGTGGCTATTCATACCAAAAGTATTTCGATTTACAAAGAAGACAAAAATAGGGGATAATGTTTCCTTTTTAGAAATTAGTTTCAAGTGGAGGAATTTAGGGACACGCATCATGTCTTTTCTGGATATGTATGGATATGGGAGAACTCAGGACACGTTTCATGGCCCTCTTCAATTCTTACCATACCAATCGTTTTCAGCTACTGAGTACCTACTTTATAAGAGGCATTTTAAGGGCCAGGCGCAGTGGCTTACGCGGGTAATCCCAGCACTTTGAGAGGCGGAGGCGGGCGGATTGCCTGGGCTCAGGAGTTCCCGACCAGCCTGGGCGACACGGTGAAACCCCGTTTCTACTGAAATACTAAGTTAGCCGGGTGTGGCGGCGTGCACCTGTAGTCCCAGCTACTCGGGAGGCTGAGGCAGAAGGATTGCTTGAACACGGGAGGCGGAGGTTGCAGTGAGTGGAGATAGTGCCACTGAACTCTGGGCGACAGAGCAAGACTCCGTCTCAAAAAATAAAATAAAATAATAGTCTCTTTAGAACATTATATCACATTAAATTCTACCCTATGAAAGGTGAGTTTATTTTACAGATCAAGAAACAGACGTTCAGATAAGTCAGATAAATTGCCTAAGATCACCTGCTGTGATATGCCTCCAGTCTGAGGGTCTCTCCATGATCCATGAAGGTGAATAGTCACACTTGCAGCAAATGTCTTTAGGAGCAACCTAGGCCCAGTACCCAAGACACCTAAGGTTCCTTAACTCAAGTGTTCTTTCGGCTGTGGGGAAACTGTTTTCCTTTCCTTTAGCTTATAATTTATCTGTAATCCTTCTTCCCCGCGAGAATAAACACACATTTTACTCTCATCCGCAACTTCGCCTACCAGCCATTCTCAGAGTCCTTCACTCCCAAATTTCACCCCAGACCCCAGCCCAGTCTCACTCACCATTGGTTGGGAAAGCTACCGAGCCCCACCTCTGAGTAGTGATTGGCTAGATCAATAGCACCCTTGAGGGAAAGGGCAGCAGGACGGGCGCTCGCCTTTGTCTGATTTCTGCCGACAGTGCTCAGTTTTTGAGCCGGTGGAGGTGGCCTGGAGCCCCAACCCATGTTACCCTCTGCCACTTACTTTTGCCATTTTCCGTGCCCTTTTGACAGCTCCAGGGATGGAGGCAGCATTTGTACCGCCAGTTCAGGCACCTGTAGATCTGGCAGGAAAGCGAGGGAGGTGGTTGCAATTGCTTGGGGGTTCTCCAGGTGCAAAGAGTTGCGCTGGGTCCACAGGTGAGAAAGGGACGTGAGAAGAATGTCAGGTGGGCTTGGAGAGAGGTTGATAATCAACTATTTCCACGTTTTCTCTCCACCCTGGCTTAGGAGGTACCAAGAATTTTCCTGATTGGAAAGAGGTGGAAGAGCGACTTCTTAGTCATGTAAAAAGTAGTTGTAGGTCTCTAGTAGTAATACTTGTCTTTGATACTAAAGTAGAGCATTGTAGAAAGTTGAGTATGGCATTCCTCCGGCTACAATATCTAAAATGGCCAAAAGAGATGTGTTAAGTATGTATTTTTAAATAGGCTAGTCATCCCCAGGCAGTTGGCGTAGTTTGTCTTGTAAAGTGCAATGAAGGTGTTTTGAGGCGGCTGCAAGAGGAGTGGGTACATGAAGAACGTCAGGAGGTACTGGTGTCTGTGGTTTCTTTTCCTCCCTCTTCTATTCTAAAAGCGAGATCGAGGTCTCACAGCAGTGCTGGTTGGGGAAAGGACTTCTTGTTTGTCCACAGCTGACCCTCTATGCCATCCATAGCTAAACCTTCATTTTCTGAACAGGTTTTCTGGACCTCTGACCTATTTCTCCTGGAAGGGCATCAAACAACCAATTCCTTTTTAGCCTATCAGTCTCCTCCCCAATTCTGAAACTTTTATCTTATTTCCTTTAGCTGATGCTCCCTAGTCATCCTCTTCCCCAAACCTCAAAATGGACTCTCAATTCCGTTCCCTTAGCCCCATAGGTATATTTTGCTGCTTTGTGTGTTTTCTTCTACCTTAACTACTCACAGGGATGCAGGTGAACCCCCAAACTGGGGCTCAGCTCGGGAGGGTTCTTGGCTTTGCTCAGGAATGAATTGAAGAGCCAGCGGACAGTGAAAGCAAGCAAGTTTTTAAACAGCAACATTGCACAGCAGAAGTGGCGGCTCTATAAACAGAGAGGGCTACCCCGAGGCAGAGCAGCACTTGCAGGCTGCCAGCTAGCTCTATTTATACCTACTTGTAATTACATGCTAAGTAAGGAGTAGTTTGTTCACAAACTTTATGGAAAAGGGGCAGGGAGTTCCTGGAACCCTACAAGGAAACTTCCAGGCGTTGCCAAGGCACTTGTAAACGGCAACAGCTCTGGTGGGAGTGTCTTTAATAACGATCAGTGAGAGCAAACAGGTTGCTTTCCTTGCCCTCTTCTGTTTTCTGAGAGCTTTCTCTGCTACATCCTGTTTTTGATCCGCAGGAGCCTTACTGGTGCTAGAAAAACAAGTCCTGCTCATCTACCTCCCGACTGCAAAGGAACTTAGGATCAGTTCCTGTGGACTGGCTGTGACGGGAGAGAAGCACCAGCACTCGCCTTAGAACTGGCAACCAAGTCCTTCTAAAGTGCCCAGGAGTAAGTCTTCCCAGCCTCACACACCCTTGACCGGCAGCCTTAGGTTCTAGCCCCTATTCCCGCTTTCTTCCTCCCTCCCGCCGCAAGTGTGTCCTAAACATGCCGAATAGCGAGGGTGCTACAGGGGTCCTGATTAGGGGTGCTCTTTGCAGGCCTTTTGGGTGGTCCCTCAGTTCCTGAAACGCTCGTTTGTAGAGGGAAGCTGTCCCAGAGCTGTTTGGAAAGGGATTGGCTTGGGCAGGCGTCAAGAGCGTCTCTTCCATCCCTCAGGAGGAATGGGCACCAGTTCCCCAGTAACCGAGAGAACTGCTGGGCCCTCGGGGCTTCACGGTTCCCCACGTAGGTGGACCCTCGCGATACTCAGATGGGGGCGGGGCCAAAGTCACCAGGTCAGAAAGTCGTGGGCCAGGGACTTCCATGGCGTCTGAGCTCTTTGCAAGGACCAGTAAATGCCACTTCTTGGAAATGCAGGATCTTAGGAAGGCGCCTAGGATGGCGTGCACAAGATTTGCTGGTTAAGAAACATGTGCAGAGGTGGTAGGTATCCTGTCTCCCTGTCACTCATCCCCAACTTGGAAGTACTGTAAGGAGCTTCCTGTGGTCCTGTGAAAGGTGGAAGAAGTAAGGAAGAAAACTGGCTCCTAGGCCTCTGTTAATTCTGGTGAAGGCAAGGAGAAATTACCAATCACAGGAGCTGTTCCCAATCAGCTCTAGCCTGAGAAAAGATTGTGTGCCTTCAAACTTCAAAATTAACCCTCCAAATCTAGCTTCTGGCGAAGTTAAAAAGCAAAAAAACAAAACTTAACTGTTCGTGACGTGGAAGGAAAGTATGATCATGTTTTATCAGTAGTGCCCCCAAAGCACTATTTAACAACTCTTCCTAAATCATTGCAACCAAATACAACCCAGCTTAAGCCAAAAGGCCTGTTTATCTAGAGTTTACTGCCCTTTCCAAGTTAAAGAGATATTAGATCCAGGCCTTTATCTTTGGATCCTAAGAGAATTCTCATTCTTGTGCGTGCTCCTCTCCTTCCCCCTCTATAAAAATGTCACATTTCCACTAGACTGTTTTGGGTTTTAATCATGTTAATTTCTTAATAGGAAATGAATGCTAAGTTGAAAGGCTATTGAGCCAGGAGAAAGCTTATTGTGTGAAGAGGAAGCATGTGTGTGTTAACAACACATGTAGGTTATCTAAAATAATTCAGAGTTATAAACAATATATTTGATGCCACATCTCAGATCTGAAATCTCTTGTTTGGGAGAAGGGAGAAAGGTATAAGTTATCCTGTAATTGATACAGGAAAGTGTATCTTGGAAAGAGGGAAGAGGTCGTATTTCCCCTCTTTGGGGAAATAGAGGAAGGAGCTGCCAGGGTGCTGTGGACAGCAGTGACTCAAGCCTATGTCTTGTCACTCTCCTGGGTGTCCTCAGTAGTGTGGATCCAGCTTCTCTGGAGTTGTGTTTGTTGATTCTTAGATTTTCATGGTTGTTAGGGGCTGAGGGTTATTGGTGGTTGAAGCATTCTGTAGCTATCAGGGACCTTAGAATGCTGAGACTCACTAAAGGAAGGAAAGACTAATGCTTTCAATACATTTTTCTTGTGAACAGAGGAGATGTATCAGTGGATAAGTCTATATACAGTTCTGTGTAAGTAGCATTCAACTATTTTAATTGCCTCCAAATTGTTGTTGGTTGGTGATAATAAGGCGAATATTTTCTATCCAAAGCATGTCATGTTTGACACCAACAATTAGGCACATTCAAGGCCTGTCCTACTGGTGTGTAGTCACCTTAATAGTAAGGGGTAAGTATTTTAATCAGTCATGGGAATGAGCTAGACATTTGAAAAACTTAAACAGTGATAGTCATTGGCTTCTCATTCTCCTTTAGAACTGATAACTTGGTAAACTACCTCCTTTGTTTAAAACTGAATTTGGAAAAGTTCATGTCCTTCTGATAGGAAGCTACTTCTCCAGGGTATTACACAATCTGCATTTCATCATGATTGTAATGATAAAACAAAACCGATTTTCTATTGACAGTCCTAGAAATAACTATGGAAAAATTGGAAAGACATATCAGAAAAATTGAGCCAGTCAAGGCTGAGATTGAAGAAGAGAAGAAGAAGAGGATCTCCAAATGAACTCCAGCACTTGAAGAACTAACTCAAAGCCCTGTGGCCTCCTTGAATGATACAATATGAGGCAAGATTTTCCTGAAAATAGCCTGCTCCCAGAGGAAAAGTGGATTGCACCATCAAAGAATGAAGACAGTCAGCCTGGAAAATATGTAATGGACCACAAATGTCCAGAGACTGATCTTGGATTTGATCCTTTGCTCAATTATTCTGCAGAACTACTTGGAGCATCTAAAGCAAAGCAGGATGGGACTAATCAACAGCACTTCTGCCACTTGAAAAAAATCTGTGAGCGAAGATTGCCACATGTCCCCAGAGCGTCAAAAGCCTTCTGTTTCACCGATAAGAATTAAATAGATCTTCAAGAATCTGAAGATGATCTTATAATAGATGTACTTCCAGTCGTGCTTACTTCTGAGAAATCTAAACTATTTAGAGACTTCAAACATCATTACAAAGATGAAAGGATATGCCCCTGGAGGAGAAAAACCTTAAATTTAGTGGCACAAAAGAAGAAAAAATAGATAAAACCCAACTAACCACACAAATAGATAACAGTAACAAATTACAACTACCTACATTGCTTACGAAAAGATCACCAGGTATTAAAAGTGATGTAAGTTTATATCATGTTAAAACAAGAGTACCTAAGAAGGGGAAATTTGGGCATAAAAAAAGCATGACTATTTTAGGAGGAGGTAGATCTCGTGCACCTCTCAGTGGCAATGAAATACTGAAAGAAAGTTGTCATCAGTTACCCAAAGAGCAAAAACCATGTAAAGACAAATTATGATACTTAAAAAGAAGAAACTAAATGTTGGCATTCACCAAGCCAGTTCCACATTTCTTATTCAGATGATCTTGCAAAGGACAATGTGCTAAGAATGCAAGATGATAATCAAGACCAAAGTACTTTTGAAGACAGCAAATTAGCCAAATTTGATTCTGCTCCAATCGAATCTGGTAAGGGGTCTACTGAAGATAACACCCCCTCTGATTCTGATGATACTGTAAAAGAATGTCTTCAAGTTTCTAATGAGTTCACAGAAAGTGAATCTCATAAGGAAAAGACTGCTAAACAGGTTAGCATTTTTTTCTTTTATTCTTGTTTTTCTAAATCTAAGGGAGTTTTACTTAAATACATATTTTATACATATTCTAAATTATATATCATATATATGTGCATAATACATATATTCTAATAGTTTTTGATTAATAATATATTGAGATAAGACAAAAGCCTTGATAAACGGCCAGCCATAGTGTCTAGTAGAGTTGACAGTTTCCAGAGGCCATAGTAGTATATACAGTAACTTACAGTTGATTTCTCAAATTAGAGGATTCTTTTTTTGTTGCCTGTTTGTTTCTTTTGAGATGGAGTCTCGCTCTGTCACTCAGGCTGGATCACAGTGGTGCCATCTTGACTCACTGCAAGCTCTGCCTCCTGGGTTCAAGCAATTCTCCTGCCTCAGCCTCCCGAGTAGCTGGGACTACAGGCGCGTGCCACCACACCTGGCTAATTTTTGTATTTTTAGTAGAGATAGAGGCTTCACCATGTTGGCCAGGCTGGTCTTGAACTCCTGACCTCAAGAGATCCAACTGCCTTGGCCTCCCAAAGTGTTGGAATTACAGGCATGAGCCACCATGCCCGGCCTAGAGGATTATTTTATAGGAATCTAAACATGTAAAACTGTTCGAATTGAATTTTTTGTGAATTTTTATTAAAAAATTTGCCTACGACTTGGTTGCTTAGATTCACGTGGCTTTTCAAGAAACATGCTAAATTTGTCATTACTATACTGAAATTGCATAACTTATTTTTTTTTCCACTAGGCTTTGGAACAGGAAGATATGTTATATTAAAAAAACACTTCTGGACCAAAAAAAGAGAATTACATACGCTGGCAAATGTGATGTGAGTTATTTAGTTCCTCTTCTCCACCCAGGCCAAACATTATATGAAGTGCTACCTTGTTATTTCCAGTTTTGTTATTCTAGGACTACTTAATCTTTTTGCCCACTAGGGAGCACAATTTACCGGCAGTTAATTGATTCCCGCTTGTTAGCGTTTTCCTGTCCATTCCCCCCCGCAACCCACACAGATCTAACATTTTCATTAAAAATAGGTATATTATCATTGCATAGCCTCTTAATCATAAATTTTAAAAGTCGATCCTCATTATTTACAGATTCCAAATTTGTGAATTCACCTACTCACTAAGATTGATTTGTAACCTTTAAAAAATCAGGACTTGCTGTGCTTATGAGGTCATTCACAGACAGCACTGAGTGGCAACACATGTGAATTGCCCCACGTGCACATTCCCAGTTAAGACTGAAGAAGGCCACAGCCTTCTTGCTTCAGCTCTCAGACTGTAAACAAATGTCCTTTTGCAGTCTATTTAGTGCCAGGTTTTTTGTTTTTTTGCATCTGTGCGCTTTTTGTTGGTGATTTTGTGCTGAAAATTGCCCCTCATTGTAGGGCTGTTTAGTACTTCGAAGCGTAAAAGGGATGTGATGTGCCTTACCAGAGAAAATATGTGCTAGATAAACTTTGTTCAGGCATAAGTTTTAGTGCCGTTGGCCACAAGTGTATTAAATGAGATGCCTTTAAACATGATACATACATAAAACAAGGTCATACATTGATTGACCAAAAAAAAAAACCATGAGCGGAGACTTACCTGAACTTAACTCCGTATTTGTTTAGGAGCAAAGAGTTCAATATTTACTAATTCTTAGTTTGTGGTGATTTATAGGGTATTACTACCTCAAATAACAAGAATCGGCGTTAGTTTTTAAAAATAATTTGAAATTTTTGTAATTTGTAAGTGCTGAAGTTCTTTTATGACATACAAAAGAGAAGCTGAAGGAGTTCAGTGAGTAGTATTCCTTTAACACTTTTGTGTTTAAAAAGTGATATTTAACAAAACCTTTCTGCTTGACAGAAAAAGACTTTCTACTTCCAAATCACAAATGAAAACCTGAATTTCAGTTCTTCATAGAATAGTTGGATGTACTTGGGCAAGTACTTAAATTACTTGATTTTTCTGAGCTTCGGTTTCGTTATCTACGAAAGGAAAATTGAGTGCCTACCCCAGAGTCAAATATATAAGTACTTAATAAATCCTCTTATTTCTTATGACATTTAATCATTAATCCAAAATTTTCTCTTGTTTCTTATAAAGATTTTTCATGGCTAGCATTATTTCCCTTTAACTGCAAATGTTGTATTCACAGTTTTGATTTTATTGTGCTAGGTAACTCCCCTCGCCGATTCTTGTATATAAATAATTTTTGGCTTTGTAAATAATTGTTTCCTTAAAATTCTCACAAGTTGAAGTAATTGGACCAAGTAAGATAAAGAATATTAAAAATTTTAAAGCATGTTGATGTATTGCCTTCAAAAGTGTTTTGAAATTTATAGACCTACTCAGTGTTCCAGCATTCTCTTCCCACAAACCCTTACCTGCAATGCACATTTATAATTTTTTTAAAGCCTGCAAATCAGGTTAAAATTGTATTGCCTTATCTTTCATTACATTTCTTTAATTACCAGTGAAGCTAAACATTCTTTCACATGTTCCATTCTCTTATGACAAATGTTGCTGTGGAGAAGTCTGATGCTTGCCTTATATTTCACCCTTGAGTCAATTGATACTTTTGTCTCATTAGCCAAAGCATTCTTCCTTTAATTCGAAGTCTAATAATTTTAGTAGATATGTTTTATTAGCTATTCTATTATCATTTCCATCTACATGCAAAGTATCACTTTTGTATGAGATTTAATTTTTTTTACTGTTAATCTTTATTTTTTAATATGTTTTTATTTACATTCATTTAATTTTTAAATCCTTTTTTATTTTTTCAACTTTTTCATTATACTTTAAGTTCTGGGGTACATGTGCAGAATGTGCAGGTTTGTTTCATAGGTATACAGGTGCCATAGTGGTTTGCTGCATCCGTCAGCCTGTCATCTACATTAGCTATTTCTCCTAATGTTATCCCTCCCATATCCCCCAACACCCTGCTATCCCTCCCCTAGCTCCCCACCCCCTGACAGGCCCTAGTGTGTGATGGTCCCCTCCCTGTGTCCATGTGTTCTCATTGCTAAACACCCATTTATGAGTGAGAACATGCAGCGTTCTCACTGGAATATTGAGTATACTCAAGTCTTTCATAAATTTTAAGTCCAATAATTTTTCTTAATGATAAGCTATCAGAAATTTGTTGAAGGATGGCAGCCTCCAAATTTTGCTATATTTGATTCAGAGAAGTAAATCCCAGCTTTAGGAATCTGGATGTGGAAACAGTACTGCAGTTAGATGAGGGATTAGCTATCACTGTGTACATGCAGGTAGCAGCACAGACATGGCAGTCTCACTGGTCCCTTTTGTGAGTGTAGGTAATTTTGTACTTTGTGTTTATTCTACCTCTAATGAACTTAAACTTGAAATTACTTTTTAATTTAATTTTAATATAACTTACCTAAAATAGTTTTGCTTCTTCCATACACTTAGTAGGAATATTAAACAGAAACATGTATCCTTCTTCATGTTCTTCTTCACGATTGTTTGAGTTTTTTGTTTGTTTCTTGTTTTTTAAGATGGAGTCTTGCTCTATTGCCTAGGCTAGAGTGCAGTGGTGAAATCTCAGCTCACTGCAACTTCTGCCTCCCGGGTTCAAGCAATTCTCCTGACAGCCTCCCGAGTAGCTGGGACTACAGGCGCCTGCCACCATGGCTAATTTTTGTATTTTTAGAAGAGACAGGACTTCACTATGTTGAGTAGGCTGCTCTCAAATTCCTTACCTCATGATCTGCCCACATCGGCCTCCCAAAGTTCTGGGATTATAGGCGTAAGCTACCACTCCTATATTATACTTTAAGTTCTGGGGTACGTGTGCAGAACGTGCAGGTTTGTTACATAGGTATATGTGTGCCATGGTGATTTGCTGCATCCATCAACCCGTCATCTACGTTAGGTATTTTTCCTACTGCTATCCCTCCCCTAGGCCCCTACCTTCCAATAGGCCCCGGTGTGTGATGATCCCCTCCCTGTGTCCATGTGTTCTCCTTGTTCAGGTCCCACAAATGAGTGAGAACATGCAGTGTTGGGTTTTCTGTTCTTGTGTTAGTTTGCTGAGAATAATGGTTTCCAGCTTCATCCATGTGTCTGCAAAGGACATGAACTCATCATTTTTTTATAGCTGTGTAGTATTCCATGTGTATATGTGTCATATTTTCTTTATCCAGTCTATCATGGATGGACATTTGGGTTGGTTCCAAGTCTTTGCTACTGTAAACAGTGCCACAATAAATATACATGTGCATGTGTCTTTATAGTAGAATAATTCATAATCCTTTGGGTACCCAGTAATGAGATTGCTGGTTCCAGTGGTATTTCTAGTTCTAGATCCTTGAGGAATCACCACACTGTCTTCCACAATGGTTGAACTTAATTTACACTCCCACCAACAGTGTAAAAGCATTCTTATTTCTCCACAGCCTCTCCATCATCTATCGTTTCCTACTTTTTAATGAACATCATTCTAACTGGCATGAGATGGTACCTCATTGTGTTTTTTATTTGCATTTCTCTAATGATCAGTGATGATGAGCATTTTTCATATGTCTGTTGGCTGCATACATGTCTTCTTTTGAAGACATATACTTCACCCACTTTATGATGGGGTTGTTTGTTTCTTTCTCGTAAATTTAAGCTTTTATAGATTCTGGATATTAGCCCTTTGTCAGATGGGTAGATTGCAAAAATTTTCTCCCATTCTGTAGGTTGCCTGTTCACTCTAATGATGATTTCTTTTACCGTACAGAAGTTCTTTAGTTTCATTAGATCTCATTTGTCAAGTTTGGCTTTTGTTCCCATTGCTTTTGGTGTTTTAGTCATGAAGTCTTTGCCCATGCCTGTGTCCTGAATGGTATTGCCTACATTTTCTTCTAGGGCTTTTATGGTTTTAGGTCTCATGTTTAAGTCTTTAATCCATCTTGAGTTAATTTTTGTATAAGGTTTAAGGAAGGGATCCAATAACAGCTTTCTGCATACGGCTAGCCAGTGTTCCCAACTAGTAGTTGTTTGTAGTTCTCCTTGAAGAGATCCTTCACATCCCTTGTAAATTGTATTGCTAGATATTTTAATCTCTTTGTAGCAATTGTGAATGGAAGTTCACTCATGATTTGACTGTTTGTCTGTTATTGGTGTATAGGAATTCTTGTAATTTTTGCCCATTGATTTTGTATCCTGAGACCTTGCTGAATTTGCTTATCAGCTTAAGGAGATTTTGGGCTGAGATGATGGCATTTTCTAACACAGAATCATGTCATCTGCAAACAAAGACAGTTTTACTTCTTCTGTTCCAATTTGAATACGCTTTATTTCTTTCTCTTGCCTGATTGGCCTGGCCAGAACTTCCAATACTGTGTTGAATAGGAGTGATAAGAGAGGCCATCTTTGTCTGGTGCTGGTTTTCAAAGTAATACTTCCAGTTTTTTGCCCATTCACTATGATATTGGCTGTGGGTTTGTCATAAATAGCTTTTATTATGAGATACGGTCTATCAATATCTAGTTGATTGAGAGTTTTTTTTTAGCACAAAGGGGTGTTAAATTTTGTCAAAGACCTTTTCTGCATCTACTGAGATAATCATGTGGTTTTTGACATTGGTTCTGTTTATGTGATGGACTACATTTATTGATTTGTGTATGTTGAACCAGTATTGCATCCATCCCAGGGGATGAAGCTGATTTGATTGTGGTGGATAAGCTTTTGGATGTGCTGCTGGATTTGAATAGCCAGGATTTTTGTATCAATGTTCATCAGGGATATTGACCTGAAATTTTCTTTTTCTTTTTCTTTTTTTTTTTTTTTTTTTTAGTTGTGTCTTTGCCAAGTTTTGGTA